CTTGAAAACCCATACATAAATTATGCATGGGTCAGTTTTGCACGAAGTACTGATCACGACTCGTTTTACCGACTCTTTACATTCGAGTAAAACGTGGGGGCGTTTGACTTTAATAGAGAAAAACCGCGATTATTCGGATTCTTTTTATTATCCGAACTTGTTTTGTCCTGCACCCTTTATGAGTATCAATAAGTCGCATTTGGAATCCATAACAACTTTTTCCCACCAAACAAAGCTAAATCCGCCTAATGGAAAAGAGCTGCAGGGTGTAATTTCAACTTAAAAAGTTTTTTCAGAAATGAAAACTGACAGAATTTCTTCCTAAGTTCTGACTCGTACATTTATATACATTTAAATAGTCACAATTTGTAGGTATATCTGCCATACCATTCCGTGCAAGTTAAATCTGATAATCGAAGCTAATATACTAAGAAACATTTATTTCTTTAGATGCTCTGATTATTCTCTCATCTTTTGCACTCTACCTACCCTGCTAATATTGTTTACTTTCGCTTCCAGACAATTCTAATACAGACATCCGGCAAAGTTGGTAAAATAAGTGACTAATGACTGACTCTATGGGAAACAATGAGTTTTGTTTCCATTGCGGGGCAATCCTCATTGTTTCCCGTGAGGCCAGTCATTTTAATCTTTAAAGTATTTTCTCATACCTCCCAACTCGAATATGACTGCCAAAATTTACTTTTTGTACGCAGGCTGGCACACACATTATCACGTGAGAGTTGAAAGTTCAATTTGTTGTTTTCCCTAGTGGTTTCCCTAGCTTAGTGGTTCTTTACATTCGAGTAAAACGTGGGGGCGTTTGACTTTAATTGAGAAAAACCTCGATTATTCGGATTCTTTTTAATATCCGGACTTCTTTTGTCTTGCACCCTTTATGAGTATCAATTAGTCGCATTTGGGATCCATAACAACTTTTCCCCACCAAACAAAGCTAAATTCGCCTAATGAAAAACAGCTGCAGGATGTAATAGGATGCAACAGAGAGAGATGAAAACTGACAGAATTGCCTCTCAGGTTGTAACTCCTACATTTATGAGTCACAATTTGTAGATATATCTGCCGTACCATAAATGTAGTTATGTGTTCCTTTTTCGGACCCGCGCACGGATCCAAAAATCTGATAACCGAAGCCAATATGCTAAGAAATATTTATTTCTTCGATGCTCTAACTATTTTCTCATCTTTTGCACTCTAGCTACCCTGCTAATATTATTTACTTTCGCATCCAGACAATTCTAATACAGACATCTGGCAAAGTTGGTAAAATAAGTGACTAATGACGGACTCCAAGGGAAACAACGAGTTTTGCAGGGCAAGAGAAAGCAGTCCTCACTGTTTCCCGTGGGGCCAGTCACTTTAATTTTCATTTTTTTTTAGTATTTTCTCATACATCTCCACACAAAAATGACTGCAAAAAAATTATTTTTTGTACGCAGGCTGCCGCACACATTTGCTGCGGTTTCACGGTGAACGACCTTATCGCGTGAGAGTTGAAATTCAAGTCGTTGTTTCCCTAGGGGCTAGTGAATTTTGTTTACCCTTAAAAGTTGGTGCATTTTGATTCACGGCTCGTGACATGTTCAACCCTCCAATCGAAAAAAACGTATTTGAGTCGGGCATTGCGTATATATACCGCGCTCAAGAGCTTTAGACAAGTCAAGAATTACATTATGCTTTCAGCACCCATAAACTACTTTTCCTTCAAGTTTCAGTGGACTGAAATCCCAATATTAGCAACGTTATGTGCCCCTTGGAAGAAAACGTTGCCGTTGTGGCGGAGTAGGTTATGTAGGGGCTTTTTTCATACCGCATGCTTGTTTACAGTTAGGAGGCTAAAATAACCGTTATTCCATACAGATGGGGTTCTCCTATCATATCGAAGGTCTCTGTGTCAGAAAGTCAACTGAACCCACACGAGCGACAATCTCACTAAGAGGTTGAGACTGGCCATTGCTTGTTTAAAGACCATTGGTATCTATGTTCTCTCAGTGATGCTCCAAATTGCACGAGAAAAATCATGTGATTACGTGTTAATAACATACATGGAAAAATACGAGATGGCTCATCATAATTAAGCATAAGCAAAGCGCGCGCATCAAGTGCATGCAAAAATTATTTATTCAAACCGTGCGTTCGGTCAAAACAACCGCGTACGATCAAAACAATAATATGCAATAATATCTTTACAACTTTAAGGCGCAAAAAAGTCCGGCTAAACAGTTCAAGGAATTGTTCAGTCTGTGTCCGGATCACTTTCGATAAAATGGAATCGTCGTTTCCGAGGTTTAACCATGTTTGTTTTTAATTTCGGCGTTGGATCGCTCGAGCAAAGTGTTAAGCTGGGTCGGCTCGTAATTTTCGATTTCCTTAGCAATTCTCTTCTCTGAACACCACTTTTTCCAAACCGACAACCAAATAGCAGTGCTTTTTACAGCGTTTTCGTTGTTTGAGCTGTTTTTCAGCTGCGGTGGCGAAAGAAAACCTACTTAAAACGCCGACATCCAAGGCTCACATTTGATTGGCTATTTGTGAATTTCTTTGATTATTGACCAATCAGAATGTCCGATTTGTTACTTTCTTTGCACTAAATTAACCCTCTTCTACATTGAATTAACTCTCTTCTGCACTGAATTACCTGAAAACTGCATTTATCTTAACCAATCAGAACTGAGTGATTTTTCCATGTATATTATTAATGATAAAATACTGTAAACAAATAATAACCACAACTCATGTCTGTTCTATGAGTTAATTCTCGAGTGAGGATTGTTCATTCATTTTTCTAGTTTTTTATTTAATCCTTACAGGCCTTCGGAAACGAAAGAGTTCTAAAACTAATCTAAATGCATCCCCTTACGTAATAAGATTGAGAGATAAATTGATCCGTTAGTTGAATCGAGAAATTCTCACCTGCACTGATCTGTTGATAACGTCTTTCCGATTTTCGAGATCTCGAGGATGTAAAACATAGTCTGAGTCACTCAATTCATAGTAATATGTTCCATCGCTTTTTGGTTCGATGTTGATCGACATACAATCATCCTCTAAATAAATTGAAGATGGTACGCATAAACTTTATATATTCCGAAAAGCGCTGAGCAGAAGTAAGGAAAAGGTCACCATTTTTAAAGAGTGTGGGAGGGTGAGCTAAACGGAGTTTAAAGGTGGGACCAAAGAAAATCGACTGACTCGATTTATTGTGACAACCAAAGTGCTTTCCCTTTTTTGATGCAACAAATAGTTTTGATTGTGAATTTAGGGTTTTATTAATTACTGTACTTCGGTTCAGTGACTTGACTGAAAAAGGGTTCAGAGTAATTTGAAATGGCTAAAGCTATCGGCAAATGGTTAATAGTAGGTCGCTTAGTATGGCATCCATCTACTCACCGTAAAGTGAAATGGTTTAGCGTGACGACAAAAGGTTTAGTACAAACCGAAATGGTCTAGTGTTACATCAGTTGGTTGTGGGGTCTCACGTCACAACCCTATACTTTTTAGGCGCCCTTTAGCTGTAGTTTCGTCGTCTTAAAACAATGGATCGCTTTATTATGTTTCCAAGCTATGATTCTGACTCTCTAGACTTTAAATGTGCTGTTGCGCAAAATGATGCATTTTATCATTATTTTTGTCATTCCTTTTGTTTCAGATTCTTATTTTATCTTGAGGGAGTACAATGGAGAATTCTTACCATGGTCACACGTAACCATGGTAAGAATTCTCTATCTAAAGCACAGCAGTTTCCACTATAAACTATTTATAACCATGTACTTTAAAATATAAAATATTTTAAAGTTTTTAGGCGCCCTTTAGTTGTAGTTTCGTCGTCTTAAAGCAATGAATCACTTTATCACGTTTCTTAGCAATAGTTCTGACTGTCTAGACTGTAAGTGCGCTGTGGCGTAAAATGATGCATTTTATCTGTATTTTTGTCATTCCTTTTATTTAAGATTTTTATTTTATCTTGAGGTAGTAAAATGGAGAATTCTTCTATGGTTAGGCGTAAGGCCGGTAAGGATTAAATTAAAAACTAAAAAAACTGAACGGACAATCCTCTCTCGACAATTAGCTAAATACAACAAACATGAGTCATAGCTATTATTCGTTTACAGCATTTTGCCATGAACAATCGAGCAAATCTGCACGTGAGGCATCGGCATTGTATGACTGAGAGAACATAGATACCACTGGTCTTTAAACATGCAATGTCCAGTCTCAACTTCTTGTTGATCGTCTGAGTTCAGTGGACTTCCTGACCAGACCTTCGATATGGCAGGACAACCCCCTGTGTTTGGAATGACGATTTTTTTAGCCTCCTAATTGTAAACTGCATGCGGTATGAAAAGAGCCCTTACATAACCTACCCTGGTCCGCCAGAACGGCAACGTTTTCTTCCAAGGGGCACATGAGTCGACTGAAAACCCGAAGGAGCTTATGGGTGCTAAAAGTATAATATAGTTCCTGACTTGTGTGAAGCTCTGAACAAGATAAAAACAAAAAGGGAAAAAAATATACATATATAATGCCCGGTTATTATGTTTGATATAAACCTCTCAATCATTGAAAATTGAAATGTCTTCGATTGTGATTGGTTACAGTATAAAAACTCGTGTCATGTCTAAAAAGTGGAATAAAACCCTCCCCCAATCCCCGATGGGTTGAAGGTCAAAATCTGTATGATTATTTCTTTATTGTCCGGGAAATTTCCCAGCTAGGCTCGACCTCTCGTGCGAAGCATGGTTTTTCTCTGTGGCTTCCCACCGTATCAAACAGATCGTTGAAATTTTCTTGTGTCAGTAGTGAACTTTTTTCGAACTGCAAAGTGTTCTTTCCTCTTCCTCTGGAATTTTTAGTATTCACGTGCGACGCTCGCGATCCGATCAACTAGCCAATCATGTTTAGAGTCCTTCAACTTAACATTGAGGTTGACGTGGTCACTAGTTCAACCTTTTATTTATAATGGTAATTGAACTGAGTGGAGTGCAATTTGGGCTGAAATCATACGCGTGATTTCAAAATCGAACGAGCGCGCAGCGCGAGTTCGATTTGAAATCACAAGTATGATTTCAGACCAAAATTGCACGACACGAGGTTCAATTACCACTTTATTACATCCATTTTGAAATCACCCAAATACAGGACTTGGTAAATTCGAATATTTTATTGATGCAGTACTGAGCCGGTTTTTAAATAAAAAGCGGAACCGGAAATGCAAAACAGAAAGACTTTGACGTCATGTGTCAAAAACTCAGTCAAGTTTATCAAAAGAAAGACAACTTTCATTCAAGAAATTCGAGAAGTCCTCAATAACTCAGAAAAATAGTGAAGCGTTAAAGTTCAGTCCTCGTCATCTGACTCAATGATGTAAACTCTTCGTTTCTTCTGTGGTTGGGGTGGAGAATTCTGGCTGTCTCTAGAGAAGAAATTGAAGGTGCAGCCTGAGTAATTCTGCGATGGAACGGGAGCAGCACAACTGAAGGCTTCCATGCGGTACTGAGACTGCAACGGAAAACGTGGTGGAAATCCTGAAAATTCAGCCGGCTGAAAACCAGGATTGGAGCCCATGGCCTGATGCATTTGGCCTTGTTGTTGGACGTGATAAATAGGAACCAGAGGTGTTCTTTTATGTTGGACTGCAATCTCTTGATTTGAGGCTTCATTTGAAGTGTTTTGGCGGGAGACTTCGTTTGCTTGATTTTCGTTTGACACTTCTTTATATCCACTGATAATGTGAGACAGTTCTTTCCTGTGATTCTCGTCTATTTCATCGTAGTCGTCTAACGAAGATTCACGTGCATGGCCTGTTATTTCACAGATAACATTGCGCGGTTGACCAGACTTCTTCAGTTTTGATACCAATGTTTTCCTCATGCTGTGGTTCGTCAGCTTCTTATTCGTCCTGAGACAGGAGGCCATGGATTTCATTAAATTGCCGAATGTGTTTTGTCCCATTCGAACTTTGGTGTACCAAACATCTGCTGATTTAGGACGATTTATGATGCTAAGATAGAGTGGCCATGTGTTCTTCATTCCTTCGGGTCGCTTGGACAACCAAAGCTTGAATAGCCGCACTGGATCGCTTTTTCCGCCATCGGTGCTGAACATTGCCTGTGGTGTTGTTCTTCGCCTGATGGTGAGACCACCGCTCCGCGTTTTAGTGGGACCTTCCCTGAACTCAACAACTTCAGTTCCATCTTCTCGCTGTCTTATAATTACGTCTTCCACGTATGCATCGTAGTGTTCTTGGCGACCACGAAATCCCAGTTGTTCTATCAAATTTTTGAAGTTGACATTGGTCAAGACCTTTCCATTAAAATCACCCAACTGACCTTTTTCCCATAGGGCTGACTCTTCTTCAGGTGTGATTGGCTGAGCTTTGTTGGGTCTCTTTCCCTTTCCTTGTTGACGTAGGGAAATTGCTTTCGCATTGAGGATTTCTTGTGAGGAGTGAAACTCTCTCGATCGCACGATGCTCAATGGATAGTTCTTCTCCTTTAGATACCGTTCAATGGCACTCTGCATGATTTTAAGGGATTCTGGCTCGTAGTCATCTCCGTCCTTTTTTTTCACCTCGGCGTAAAACTTACTCAAGACCTTGTCAAGTTTTTCAGGCGCCATTGTTTCGATGGAGACATATTCAAGATGGCGGCACTGACACCAGCTTCTGAAAACATTCATCCATTGTTTTGTGGAGCGGGACGTATTTTTATTCGAAGCGACAGACTTAAGCTCCTGTATTTCATCGCTTGACATGATAGGAAATCTTGAAACATCTAACTCTTGTGGTGGCTTTTGATTTTCTTCATTTGTTGCTGACTCGGTGGACTCGGGATTGTGCGGATTTTGAGCTTGAGAGGGTCGAAAATCCTCAAAATATTCACCAAAATATACACGAAAAGTGGGAAAGTCCCTGGAATGTTGGTCTTCAGCCTGAAGGATCTCATTGTCATCATTCAAAAACTGGTAAAAATTAAATTCATCCATTTTTGGGGGGGCAAAATAAGAGTTATGGAAACAAAAGTTGCAAAATTTGCGAAATGATACTCTTTGTCTTTCATTTTCCTGCAATTTGATTGGTTACTTTAAACAAGCCTTGAAATCTGATTGGTTGTTTTGTTTTAAGTGTAACTTCCTCATTGGCTGGAAAAAGATGCGATTTAGAGCAAAAAATGGTGCGATTCGTGAATAAATCGCACCAATTAGAGCCAATCAGATTGCAGGGACCACCAGTGATTTCAAAATGGATGTAATAAAGAAGGAAACAGTTGTGAAAATTTAATCGTTATGTACCTCTCAACTCAAATAGTTTTTTTGACTGGATGGTTGAATATGTCACGCGCCGTGAATCAAAATACACTAACTTTCTATGGTGAACAAAATTCACTAAGTCCCCGAGGAGACAACAAATTTAACTTTCGACTCTCGCGCGATAAGGTTGTTCACCGTGAAATCGCGGCCAATGTGTGTGCCAGCCTACATACAAAAATTGATTTTTGGCAGTGATATTCGGTTTGGGATGTATCAGAAAATATTTTCAAAAATAAAAATTAAAATGACTGGCCCCACGGGAAACAATGAAGATTGCTTTCCCTTGCCCCGAAATAGAAAGAAAAAAAAATAGTTATAACCTGATGAGTGTAACGGTGCATTTTTTTTTTTATTTTGCTTTATTCGTTTGCTACTGTTATCCTGCGCACAGTCAAGGGTTGCTTGGTGTACAGATAGACGCAACTAACGAACAAATACTCTCCAGAAATCGCCGTTTGTGTCAACATTGTGACCGGAGCCATCATCACATTCCATTTTTTTGAGTTCGTCAACGTTATGCAGTTGGACCCTAAGGTGATACATGTTTCTTTTGAAGACGGGATACCAGTATAGCCTGTTTTGATCTTCACCATGTCCCCACTTTCCAACTAAGTACTCTCCACTTACTCTTCCCCAATCTTTGCAAATGCCAGCTAACTTGGAATTGTCATCCCACGTCAATCTCACAAACGAACCACAGGCGTCCGGTTGCTCATCTATCTGACCGCTGAAGTACTGGACCACAACTTCACCTGAGCTGTTTGAAGCTGTGACCATGTGGAATGTGCGTCCCTGTTTCTTACGGCAGTGGAATCTCAGCTGACTGAAGGACAAGTATCTTCTGAGCTCTTTCATGGCACTCTTCTGCAGAACCATGTGTGACTTACCTATTCCACGGTATGACGTCTCAACTGACACCTTAGGAGAGGGACTTCCGAACTCACCATTTGACACCAGAAGCCAACCTCCTAAAATAAAACAGACCTAAATTATCTGGTGACATCCATGTAACTAGAATTTTGGACATAATAAATGGTAACAGGACCAATTGGGTCTGTAATCATACGAGTGCTTTCCAAAATCGTACGACCGCAAAGCGGGAGTCCGATTTGTTAATCACTCGTATCACTACAGGTAGAATTGGACGACGAGAAGGCCTGTTACCAATTAGTCAAAATTATGACAAAATTTGAGAAAGAAACCAGACATCGGTTATACGTTTTCATAAACACGAAAAACAACAGTTAACTCGGCGAAATGCGAGACAACAGCGCGCACATGACGCGTTCTGTCCACTCACACAGGTATGACGCGTTAACTGTCCCTTTAACGGTCCTATTACACTGTTCAATTATAAATATGACGCGTACATTGTCCGGTTAGTGATCAAATCGGCCGGCTGATGATAACCAATCACTTTCGAGAATTCTGCTGTAGTTTTGATTCAAAACATAATAAGGATCTTGGTAGAGAAAGCAAGAATAGCCAAGACCATAACGTTCCAATAACAACTGTACCGAGTCTGATATACTCCTGTTGAAGTCCTCGTGTCTCAAAAAAACAATTCATTCTCTTACCACCAGATCTTGACATGTCACAATAGACCTTCAAAGGGTTTCCACTCTTCTCTGGGTCGATCCAATACTCCCCGTCTCCTTTGGAGTGTCCAGAGTCCAGAATTTCTTTACAGGAGAAGGCCGGATGAGCAGAATCCCAACCTCGTTTATCTGCATAGGAAAAGGGAAGAATAATCATTTGGAACGAGGAGAGGATCGAACTAAGAGACAAAACACGCCACAGAGGTCTTATTCCATTAGTAGTTCCTTTCGCGTAATTATTACATAACTCTTGATTTTGGAAATTTAAATTTAAACTAAGAAAATGGAAAACCTATCATTATAAGGAAAAGCAAGAGATTTTAAACTTCATATTCTCTCGGGAAAGATTATACATGGATGTACACGTGCAATAAGAGAGCTCTGAAAAGCGCTTATCAGAAGTAATAAAAAAGGTCACCATTTTTGACATGGAAAGAGGGGTTGGGAGGGGTGGCAGAGTCTTGGGGGGGATATCATTGTTTTCAAAGGGAACGGAGAGGCGATCAGTCGTCGCTGACAGAGTTTAAAGGTGGGACTAAAAAAAATTGGCGGCCAATGAGGAAGATCGATAGAATAGTTCGGAACGTTATGGAAGGATCAGGAAAACTTTATTGTGACAATCAAAATACTCCACCCCCTCCCCCCCTCACACCTCCACTAACTTTTCCATAATGTTAAGCACCTTACTCAACAGTACCTCTTCTATGATAATAAGTAGAACGTGGGTTACGCCTCAGGTTTTCCGGACTTGATTTTTTGGTTTGATTACTCAGTTGACATTCCTTCTTTGCATCATTAGCATCGGATTTGCTGTTGTAAGATTGGCAGTTTTCATCTTGAAGGCATCTCAATCCACAGCTTATTTCGTCAGCATATAATGTCTTGGTGATGTGACCAATTAGCTCAAATCCTTAAAAAGCAACACAATCGTGTTTCATGTTCTCATCACTCAGTTTATTTTGGATACTTTAATAATACAGTTTGTGTGTAGTTAATTACCCTGTCTTAAGAGGTCATCTTGATTCTTGATATCGTTCAAAGGTGAATATGAAGAAGCCCTGAGAGTTAGGAGAGTTACGCGTAGAAAGTTCCTGTTGCTTTAACCCGATTTTGGGGCGACCCCATATTTTTTTTGGGGGCGAACTGCTATGGCAACAGAGTACAAATGGGGAAGAATGGAGATTTACTACCAATGAGGGGGATTGTAAGAATGTCACACATCCTTTATTGGGGGGAGGGGATCATGTAAAGTTTATCGTGACACAGCCAAAATCTTTGCCATCCGGTTCGAGTTTTCGCTCATGGCACTTGAAACATTCACATCCCGTCGGAAAAAAATATCACTGTGTTGGGAGGTATAACACATTCACGTGTTACCTTCAACTCTCTCGAAAACCGCGTCCCTGCTCAAGTCAGTGTGCAAAGACGAACTGAAAGCCACAAGAAACAAAGCAACACCACTCAACAGAACGGGACAGAAATGGAAACCGACTAGAAGCCCTCTCATCCTGTAATTTGAGAAAGAAAGAAAAACAGATGACAAATGTTGCCCTTCTCCCTTCTTAGATGCAACAAATAGTTTTGATTGTGAATTTAGGGTTTTGTTAATTACACTTTGTTATGCATCAGTCAACTTTGCACGAAGTACTGATGACGACTCTTGGGGTTAGCGTTTCTTTACATTTGAGTAAAGCGTGAGGGCATTTAACTAGAAACAAACCTGATTACTCGGATTGTTTTTATTATGTTGTTATCAAAGTTAGAAAGCAATCTTCTTTTAAGTTTAAATTAACCAATTTTTTCCAAATTGAATGACTTGGTTACTCCTTGAAACCAGTATATTCTGACCTTCAGTTTCTTTCCACTCCTCTCGTATTTTTCTATTGAAAAAAAATCTGTTATCAACTTTTTAGTGAAACTTGAGACAATAATTAAAAGAAATAAAAGAAACAGCTTGAGAACCCCTTACGTAAGTCAAGCATTAGTCAGCTTTGCACGAAGTACTGATCACGACTAACATTTCTGATTAACATTTCTTTACATTCGAATAAAGCGTCGGGGCGTTTAACTTTAATAGAAATAAACCTGGATTCTCTTGCACATGGATTTCTATAAGTATCGATTAGTCGCATTATGGATCGATGACAACTTTTTCCCACCAAACAAAGCGAAATTCGTCTAATAAAAAATAAGCTGCAGGATGTAATTTCAACAGAGAGAGATGAAAAGTGACAGAATTCCCTCTCACCTTCTAACTCGTACATTTATGAGTCATAATTTGTAGATATATCTGCTGTACCATACATGTATTTCTGTGTTCCTATTTTGGACTCGTGCACGTTAAAATTGGCAACGGAAGCCAATATGCTGGGAAACATTTGTTTTTTCTGACGCCCTAATTATTTTCTCATCCTTTGCCCTCTAGCTACCCTACTAATAGTGTTTACTTTCGCTTCCAGACAATTATAATGTAGACACCTGGCAAAGTTGGTAAAATAAGTGACTAATGACCGACTCCAAGGGATACAGTGAGTTTGTTGCCCTGGTAGGGCAAGGTAAAGCAATCCTCACTGTTTGCCGTGGGGCCAGTCACTTTAATTTTAATTTTTTAAAGTGTTTCTCATACATCCCAACTCGAAAATGACGGCAAAAAATAATTTTTATGGGCAGGCTGGCACACACATTTGCTGCGGTTTTACGGTGAACGACCTTATCATGTGGGAGTCGAAAGTCAAGTCGTTGTTTCCCCGGGGGCCTAGTGAATTTTGTTTATCCTAGAAAGTAAGTGTATTTTGATTCACGACTCGCGACATGTTCAGCCCTCCAATCAAAAGACGTATTTTAGTTGGC